TAAAGTTCAAGTTATGGAGGGATTTTAGGGAAATTAACAATAAACTATGCTAATCGAATATTGCAATTAACTAAAAATTAAATAGCAGACTATAAAAACTCAAATAGTATTGGACAGCTCCAGTCAAGAAATAACTTCGACAATGGTTCACCTGATTGATTCTCGATGCAAAGGTAATTCCAATTATTAACTAATAAATATGTTATAACTGTCAAACAAGCGATGACAGTCAACTCCTCCTTACTGTGTCGATGATTGAGGTACGCCTGTCAATCACTACTTTAATTGAGATATAATCTCAGGTACGCCCGTGAGATTTAATTCCCCAATTGCTTTACGTATTAGAGTAGTTCTATTCTAACCAAATAACACACTACCAGGGTTATTTTAAATTAGCCTACGTATTCCCCTAATATGAATCTAATCATGCCAGTTACCACTATTTTAGAGCAATTGAACAATTACGGATTTAACGCTCCAATTGACATTAGGTTGCTAAATTAATTCAACATCCGGGCCCAGGATATTTAACTAACAAAAAAATCATAAGCACTATAAACATAGAGTATGCAAATACCAGCAAATAAAAGAAATAAATGAAATTAGTTCGATCTCACAATTTTTAGATGAGCCGAACCATCCGTTGTTCCTTGACTAGAAAAAGAGATTAGTTCATCTCCGTTGAGAAAAATCCACACAAAATTCTAGAATTAATTGTTGCATACATCGTCTCTCAATTGAGAGGAGCAATCCGATGGAATAAGTCACAAAAATAAGATTCAAAAGTCAAAATCCAAAGTAGTCAAGAATGTTTGCTACTTTTTTCCAATTCCTATCTATTCCCTACCTAATTGTCTATTCCTACATGGCTACTCCAATGAGTAATAGGAAAAGAGAGTCCTGATCTCAATTGACTTCTATCTTCTATTCAACCGAAGCCAAAAAAGTAGGAAGTCTCCTAATTGGCCCGTTTCCTGTTTTTGCTAAACTATTTTTTCCAATTCAAATCTAACAATCAACTAATAGAATATTTGCGGTCCCACGTTGTACTTCCAATTGGCAATTGGTGTCTCGCGCCTGTCCCGCATTTTCTGGACACGTTAAGATCTGACTTGACGCGCCTACTCCAAATAGCAATTGTAGTGGAGAATTTGCACCTTTTATCACATTTTATTCCAACTCCCTGCAATCAATACAAATTTCCAAAAGTGAGTAGAATCCGTCAATTAATGCACATTCAGTAAGATAATAGGAGGTAATTAATTATAAAATAGATGATAAAAGTGTGATTTATCAATTCCCCCCACACCTAAACCATGCTTGTTCTCAAGCATGAGAACAACAAATACACACCAATTCCTGATAATGGCTATCAATCCATCTACCTTATTGCCAAGATACCAAGAAAAACACCTATCAAGCATTAATGGTCAAAGTCCAAAAAACATCACTTCAGTTAGCTTCTAAACCGTAGACTCTCCCAATTTATGGCTAACTATTCTAAGAAAAATGAATGGTCGATCAACATTTATCAGTAAATGGTCCAATTATTAACCAAAATCTCAACATTAAATCCATAAATTGGCAAACTGACTTTAATCACATATTGACACAACTTTCACACCATTTTATCACGCTTTCCTTTTTTTCTTTGTTTTTTTTCTTTTCAATAGTAATAATAAACTTAGTCTCCAACTACTAGAGTCTTTTGACGCAAACTCCAACATTTGTCAGATGAAGGAATCAGGTTACTCAGCTCCTATCGCTACACGATCACGTATTCATAGGTATTACTATTTTTTGACACGAGAATCGACATTTTTGGTGAAAATTCCCGATTATTCAACAGTAATAACTAGCGGAGTACAACCAACTTTTATTCAAAGTCAGACAACAAAATAACTCAAAGTATCACATAAAATAGCAGCAACTAACCTCATTTTTTCAAATATGGAAAATTAAAGTTAATAACTGGACCAATTCACATGAAAATGCCAACCAGTTATTCCCTATGCCCAGAAAAGTTAACCAAAAAATTGTAAGAGTCACAAAAGCATCGATATTTACCAAAGAAATATTTTTTGAATCTAACCAAATTAGATTGATACACTTTTATTACTAAAACTTGACAATAGGCAGAATTAAAGTCAACAACCATTATCAATCCTTGGTAGTTCCAGAAGTGCTGATCACTAATAAAAGTAAAAAGAAAAGAAAAGAAAAACAGAACAAATAACAAGAAATAAGGAAAAATATCTAAAAACTAAAAATACTAGCTATACCACAGCTCCCCCCCACGCTTAAATCCGACATTGTTCTCAATGGAGGTAATAGAACAAATAAAGCAAAAAGGATAATGAAACTTCCCCGAATGCATGGTGGAGGGTCTCGATCGGCTATGGGATAGGTGGAAATGGCGGTCGAGTGAAGAGGGCGATGAGCGGCGGTGATGCTTTAGTGGTGTGCCTAGGATGTCTCAAAAGAGAGAGAGGGACGTGGCGGCCACAATGAGGGAGGCACGCGAGGGGAGCGGCGGACGGCGATGCGCGACGTGGAAGGCGGCGGCAGACTAGGTGGTGACAGGCGTGGTTCGCGAGAGAAAGAGAGTGAGTAAGGAAGTGGCGGCACGAGGAGATAGGCGGCGCTTCGTGGGTTTCGACCGAGAGAGAACCAGGGGAAATAGGGGAGAAAGAAAGGAAGAAAAGAGAAAGAAAAAAAAAGTTTTGATTTTTTTTAAAATTTTGAATTTAGATTTTAAAATTTGAAATTTAAAAATTAAATTTTAAGGTGAAACGAAAAAAGTGTAAAATTTCTTTTTACTTTAAAAATACATACATTTCCCTCGAACATGACATGGGCACGTCAATAAGGCAAGAACCCTTTTAATGAATGTCCGTTGAATTCAAAGTTACCACGTGTTCGGTTGATGCGAGAGCGTCGTGAGGGTGGAAATTCTTGTGATGAAAACTCTGAGGATTGTTGATTAACATGCGCCCTGGTGACACGGGCGCGTCGTGAGGGTGGAAACCCTTTTGATGAGGACTCTGAGTATTGACGGCGAGAACTCTTTTGATGAAGAGTCGTTGAATTAAAAGTTACCACGCGCCCGGTTGATGCAGGCGCGTCATGTCGGTCAGTCTGCTCCAAGATCAAAGGAAGAGCTTTCCAGGTGACTTGACGCGGGCACATCATGAGGGTGAAAACCCTTCTGATGGAGCATCTGGGAATTGCACGTTACCACGCGCCCTATTGACGCGAGTGCATTATGTCAGGGGGATACCTACTAATCATAAAAAAAATAAAAAATTAAACCAGAAATCTGGCAAACTCTATGAAATCATACTGAATCTATCAAATAAAACTGAACAAACAACAAAAAGAAATTGGATTGCCTCCCAATAAGCATCTTTTTTTAACGTCTTTGGCTAGACGTTAAGCACCACTTCTCAATCTTGATGTAATACAAATTTTTTTTGCAATCGATGGCATTCCTCCAAGATCCAAATAGTTATTGAGTGCAACTATCTTCTTCAATTTTCTACTCATTGTTACCTCACAAAATGCTTTCATTCCATGATACTTATTTGTAGCAAATTTGCATTTACCCCTATAATCAAACTCAGAAAATTTTTGCCTAGAAGGGTTAGTAGCATGAATGACAAATACAGAATGAAAGTTAATAGGATGTTTCATTGTATAAAAAATATTAAAGTAGACTATTTCTCTATTAAATTCCATTGTGAGAGTACCCTTACTGACATCAATCTTAGTTTGGGCAGTACTCAAGAAGGGTCTTGCTAATATAATAGGGCTAGATTTGAAGCACTTCTATCATCCATATAAAGCACGTAAAAATCAGTAGAAAAAATTAATTCATCTACTTGCACTAAAACATCCTCAATTACCCCATCCGGATAAAGCAAATATACGATCAGCCAATTGAATTATTATCCCCGTTTCTTTCAAAGGTCCTAAATTTAGGGAATCATAGATTAATTTGGGCATCACGTTAATAGAATCCCCTAAATCTAGCATGACATTTTTTATATTAGAATGTCCAATCTTACATAGAATAGTAAACATATCTGGATCCCCACATTGAGGTGGTAGTTTCCTTTGTAAAATCGCTGAAATGTTCTCACCTACCACAATTTGCTCATCCCTCCTCAACTTATTCTTGTTGGCGCACAAGTTTTTCAAGAATTTAGCATATTTCGGTACTTGTCTGATTGCGTCCAACAAAGGGATATTGATTGCCACCTTTCGAAACACCTCTAAATTCTCTTTTTCCTTAACTTGTTTCTTTGGTTTCTTTAACCAGTTCGGAAAAGGCGATGAGTTAGTTCTAACCTCAATGATTGGGTCAGGGAGTACCGCTGACTTTTTGCTGCCCTTACTCTCCTCCCTAAGTTCTTTCTTGATCTTTTCTTCATTCTTGTCCTTTGGAGTCACAAGTTCGAGTCCCTGAATTTCTTTTCCGTTCCTTAAGATCATTGCACTTACGTTCTTCGGGTTTAGTTCAGGTTGAAACGATAATTTTTCGTGAACTTGGGATTCCAGGCGGTTGATTGCTATTACCATCTGACTCATCTGACTTTGTATTGCTTGCATCTGTCTCATTTGATTCCTTATATTCATTAGGTCAGAATCCGTCTTTTGTTGATTAGCAATTAACTGCTTTATTATTTCTTCTAGAGACGGGCTAAAGCTTGTAGGAGGTGGTGGCTGCCGAGGTTCGTATTGCTGTTGATACCCTTACTGTCCATTTGGTGCAAAATTTGATTGTCTATTTCCTCCATAACTAAAGTTAGAGTGATCTCTCTAACTCGGATTGTACATGTTCGAATACGGATCATATGGCTTTCTTGGTGCGGCGCGTGACCAGCCATGTTTACTTGCTTCACACTTTTTTCTTAAATCATTGGGCACATCTCTGTAGAGTGACCCACAGCAGTGCAAATCCCACACACCTTGGCTTGTGAAGCATTTCTCACAACCAATTACCTAATAAATGATGTCAACTCAGTCAACTGTTGTTGGATAGAGAATGTCTCTATCTTATTCACTCTGTGCATCGAGACATCCTTTCTTTTATCGAATTGTTGCGAGTTCTCAGCCATCCCTTCAATCAACTCCCACGCTTCTCGAGAAGTCTTGTTCACCAGCGCCCCTCCACTTGCAGCATCAACAATACTCCTGTCTTTGAAAAGTAACCCCTCGTAAAAGTATTGGATGAACAATTGGTCACTTATTTTATGCTAAGGGCGTTTGATGCATAACTTTTTGAATCTTTTACAGTAATCATAGAGCGACTCTCCTGGGTGTTGCTTGATACCGCATATCTCTTTCCTTAGACTTGCAGCTCGGAAAGCTGAAAAATATTTTTTCAAGAATTTTTTTTTCAGTTGCTCCCAAGTGGTGATACTACCTGGAGGTAGGTAATACAATCAGTTTTTTGCTGCGTCCTTGAGAAAGAAGGGGAACGCCCTCATTTTTATTTATTTTTCCGTAATTCTCGGGGGTTTCATACTGTTACAAACAACATCGAACTCTTACAAGTGCTTATGAGACTCTTCACCTGACAAATCATGAAAAGATGGTAAAAAATGAATTAAACCAGATTTTAACTCAAACGGGATATTATCATTTAAACTCAAAAAAGTAATGCATAAGGGCTGCTGATTTAAATTAGGAGCAGCCAACTCCCTCAATGTCTGTGCATTAGTCATAGTGACTTCTTCTCGATCTAGGTCACTCGAAGTATCACCAAGCGAATTTGTTGATTCAACCTCTGGATCAAGTCTCTGAGATGCAGTACTAGATTACTCTTCTCTAAGTTATCTGGTCTCTTTCCTTGTTTTACGTGCAGTCTTCTTTACTTCAGGGTCAAAAATCAATTCGCCTGTACGAGAAGATCGAGGCATAAATTAGAAAAATATCAAAAAATTAATACGAAAATGAACTTAAAAAAAAAGAAATGAATTAACTAACGCCAGTTCCCGACAACGGCACCAAAAATTGACAGGTTGTTGATACTTATGCAATAATAATAATGAAAATCCTAATTGCCAACAAAAGTTGTTTCACATCAATTCTAGTAGTGGAGCAGGGACTCTGGATGTACAATGAGTTACTAGATTCACCATGGTTCCGAAGAGTTTACTAAATCCGATATACCAGAATTTATTCACGAGAACTTGTTAACTTTTATATAGGGCAAGTAAGGTCAAATTCATAGGGATTGGGAGTAATTCGATTCTACTAAAGTTCAAGTTATGGGGAAATTTTGGGGAAATTAATAATAAGCTATGCTAATTGAATATTACACTTAACTAAAAATTAAATAGTAGACTGTAAAAACTCAAATAGTATTGGACAACTCTAGTCAAGAAATAATTTCGGCAATGGTTCACCTGATTGATCCTCGATGCAAAAGTAATTCCAATTATTAACTAATAAATATATTATAACTGTCAAACAAGCGATGACAGTCAACTCCTCCTTACTATGTCGATGACTGAGGTACGCCGGTCAATCAATACTCTAATTGAGATATAATCTCAGGTACGCCTGTGAGATTTAATTTTTCAATTGTCTTACGTATTAGAGGAGCCCTATTCTAACCAAATAACATACTACCAGGGTTATTTTAGATTAGCCTGCATATTCTCCTGACACGAATCTAATCATGCCAATTGCCACTATTTTAGAGTAATTGAACAATTACGGATTCAATGCTCTAATTGACATTAGGTTGCTAAATTAATTCAACATCCGGACCTAGGATATTTAACTAACAAAATAACCATAAGCACTATAAACAGAGAGTATATAAATACTGGTAAATAAGAGAAATAAATGAAATTAGTTCGATCTCACAATTTTTAGATGAACCGAAACCTTCGTTGTTTCTTGACTAGAACCGTTGAGGGAAATTCACGCAAAATTCTAGAATTAATTGTTGCATACATCGTCTCTCAATTGAGAGGAGCAATCCGATGGAATAAGTCACAAGAATAAGATGCAAAAGTCAAAATCCAAAGTAGTCAAGAATGTCTGCTACTTTTTTCCAATTCCTATCTATTCCCTACCTAATTGTCTACTCCTATATGGCTACTCCAATGAGTAATAGGAAAAGAGAGTCCTAATCTCAATTGATTTTTGTCTCCTATTCAACCGAAGCCAAAAAAGTAGGAAGTCTCCTAATTGGCCCGTTTCCTGTTTTTGCTAAACTATCTTTTCCAATTCAAATCTAACAATCAGCTAATGGAATATTTGCGGTCCCACGTTGTACTTCCAATTGGCAATTGCAGTCTCGAGTCTGTCCCGCATTTTCTGGACACGTTAAGGTCTGACTTGAAGTGCCTACGCCAAATAGCAATTGTAGTAGAGAATATGTATCTTTTTACCACATTTTATTCCAACTCTCTGCAATCAATACAAATTTCCAAAAGTGAGTAGAATCCGCCAATTAATGCACATTCGGTAAAATAATAGGAGGGAATTAATTATAAAATAGACGACAAAAGTGCGACTTATCACACAACATTTTGGCACATATGTTTTTGTCATTTCAGGTGAAGATGTATGAATTTTAATCTTGGGAAGAAAATGATGTATTATGGATATATTAGGGACAAAATCCCTATTTTAAAATAAGGAACTTAAAATGTAAAAAACCTCATATATGAGAGACTAAAAATGTGATGAGAAGGTCTTGGTATAGTGACTAAAATTTAGTGTTCATGACTTAAAAGGTGTTAGTTTCAAATCTTCTTTCTCTTTCCCTACCTCTTAAATTCTACCCATCTATAAAATTTTTTTTTTTTTGAAGAAAAAAGACCAAATTACATCGCTCAAAGCTGGTATGAAGCTTAAATGTGAGGCCCTATTTTAACAATTTTCCTTTTGAAGCTACAAGATTCAAAATTTTAAAGTTGATGGAAATAATAGTTGCTTGTAACCCAAGGATTAAAACACAGTTCATATTTAGGCGTAAGCATATGGAAATGTTATTTAACATGTATGCAAGGCTGCAAGCTTACTTAGTACATCACCCATCCCACAAAGAGAGAGATTAAGAAAAATTGTGCAAAGGAACTTCCAATTTCCAAGGCCAAGCCAACTTACCTAGAGAGTTACATTTTTACTAGTACATTTTTTCTACTTTGAACTCTTAGAACACATGGTAAATCTCCTATAAAGTTCATACGTTATCACTGATCTACTAAATTGTCTATGGTGTAACATACAAAATTTTAAACCTTTTCTGACAAAATAACTATAGGCCCACCATTTGTATTGTGCCCCCTTAGGACAAGAACAGAAGTTAGAAGAACCCTTTTTACCAAGCCAATTAAGATTGGCAATACTAATCAGAGTTTAAAATCAGAACAACCAGCAGTGGAAGTTTTTGATGAATAGTGATACCATTGACTTCACACATGTCCAATTCCTCACGTTTAGCTCCATCAGGCAATTCAAAATCGAACTTGTGCACTAATTTTGCTAATGCAGGCTCATTGATAGCCAAAGCAAAAACTGATAACTGGGCAACCCCTTCTGCCAGCACCAAATGGAATCAATTTGAAGTTAAAACCTCGAAAATGACATCACTATTCAAGAATCTCTTTGGCTGAATCCCTCAGGATTATCCCAAAACGTTTGAATCTCTTCCAATTGCCAAGCATTCACGAGTACTTGTGTGCCTGCTGAACTATCATACCCCATTACTTTGGCATCTTGAGTTGATTCTCTGGCAAGTAGTAACGGAACAGGTGCATGAAGTCTTAGAACGTCCTTTATCACTGCTTTTAGGCATTGCATTTTGTCTAAATCATCTTCAGTGATTTCTGATTTTACATTTGCTTTCTGTCTTACCTCATTCTGCAACTGCATCAAGATTTTGGGATGCCTCGGGAGTTCAGCCATTGCCCACTCCATAATTGTATGTGTTGTGTCAGTTCCACCTTCAAACATGTCCTAATCAAGGAGACATAAGTGATTTAAGTCACAAAATTCAGAATATTAATGGCCTTATTACAGATCATCTCTTTAATTAGAGTTATATTATGCTGATTTATCATAACAAGCATATGAAAAAAATTGAAATTATCATACCAAACCATCAGCTAATCTAATGCTTAATTAATTAGCAATGTGTTCTTTTCAATCAACAATTCCTAGGTTGAAAGAAAAATATTACTCTTTTGAAAGTAAATCCAAGAAAAAATTGGACACTGAGAGGCAACCATGGAGATCAAGGGCTTCTGCAATTGCCACTGGTTATTAAACGGTCCAGTTTGTAATCTAGATTGGTCACATCAATTCAGTCTGATCTGTGCAATTTATTTCAAATTCGAAATCAAGTTGACCCTGTCCAGGCCATAAACTGTTCTGCCAATTGCACAGAAACCAAGTCCTGGCCAGAGAGTCTTACCAAAATGACAGCTTTGATAGAATCATGCTCAATGGCAAACAACTTTTCCCTCTGTATCTGAAGCAAAATGTCCAGAGAGTGTGAGCAGGTTGTCTCAGTAGTATTAGCAACAGCCTTGTTCCTGTGCTCTTCAATTACTCCCTCTATGAATTGATCAATCTGATTAACCACTCTTTTCACTCTAGCATCCAAACCATTGAAACGATTTAGCCATGCAAGCCAAGGAACATAGTCCCTTGTATACCCCTAATATCTGAATGAATTCTGCTAAAGTATCCTTAGCTTTCCTCCCATGTTCTCCATCACCATACTTCCTCCCCAGGGCAACCCTACAAACTACATCATTCGTAAGAGTTGCGAATAAGTCACTCAAGTTTATCAGGCAATTTGATGAAGAAGATAAGCATTCTTACTTGATCTTTCCAATCACAAGTGAAGTCTCTTCTTCTCGAACACGTCGAAATGATTGAACCATTTTGTTACTTAAAAGTTGATGCACAAGAATGCTTCTAAGTTGCCTCCAATACTCTCCATAAGGAGAAAATGCTACATCCTTGGAGCCATAGAAGAGTCTACGAGCTATACTTAATCTTTGCCTGTTTGAAAAAACTTGGTCATGGTTTTTCATGCTTTCTGAAGCTGCACTGGCTGAAGAGGCCACAAGGATTGGCTTGTTGCCAAAATGAAGCAGCATCACTGGACCATATTTCTTTGATAGAGATTGCATGGATCGGTGAGGAAGCAAGCCAAGTTGATGAAGATTTCCAACAACAGGGAGCATTGATGGAGATGGTGGCAGATTCTTTTGGGGTTTTGATGAAGAAGTGAACCATTTTATTAGGGAGATAAAGAATAGAACAAAAGGAATAAGAGAGATAATGGATACTATATTGTACTATTCTTGAATGGAAAAACATAACTAAGTTTTGGAATTGAATTCTGTCATGCTCTCAATTTATAGAATTGCTAGCTCCTTGAACTTTAGTTCATAGAGAATATTCTTGGTGCTAAACGATATGAATTGGCTTTCCCTGGTACCTTTTTGTGTTTTCTTGAATCATACTCGAAATGTTCAACCAGAATTAAAAAAAAAAAAACTAATGTTTTTATATCAGCTCTGATAATTAGTGATCCATTTCATGCATGTAGCAAAAGATCACTTGCAATTTTTCCCTTAATTTGATGAAATTTTCATATTAGTGTTGTCAAGTCCGGTTCCTATGTTCTAATTCATCGATAAACTGATAAAGTTGATGGAATTCAGTGCACAAAATCAATGTGCAGATTAGCTTGGTCCATGAATCTATGCCTTTGGTGCCCATCAAGAAAGTTATTCATAGCATTTGCTCTACCCTGTTAATATGGTCCATAAACTAGTCAGAAGAAAGGACATGTGATTTGATCATATTAATCACCCCACCTAATTGTTATATAATCTATGGGCCATTAAGAATTAACTCACCCAAAGAAAATCACTACAACCAACATTTTTCCATCCACTAGGCATAATAGGCAATAGAAAACCTATAGACACATTCCAATTTGTTTCTTCCCAATTTTTAATGAGTTTTTTTTTTTTGAATTATTAAAAGATACTGCAATAGGAGCATTATTAATTTCATTCCATGAAAGGCATACCTATATGGTTTTTATTCCATTATGTCAATTTTTTCTAAAGGAAAATTTTCTTAGATAAAGCAATATTGCTAAAATAAAACATTAAACTTAGGATTGCTTAAACAATCCCAAAAACCATTGACACTCTAATTTGATGATATATATCGTAGTCAGTGAACCTTTTATTAAAGCTATTTTGGCCATGAATCTAAATTCTTGAGTTCTAGAATTCCCTCTTTAACAATAGCATAGATACATAGATTTGCTATCCGTTCCTTACTCTGAGAGATACATTAATTCTAAGAGGAGGAGGGGAGGATTTAAACTTAAAGAGTTCTAATTCTTAAAATCCCAACCTTAATTATTAGACTAATAATTTTGCTTCTATTTCTTTCAAATGAACAAAAAATAATCCCTACTTCAATTACTAATAATAACTGGGTTTACCATTATCCGCAACTTCAAAAGTTGGGGACAATGGTGATTCTACAAATATATAACTACTTGAACAATGGGGACGATGGTTAGATTGGTAATAAGATAAGAGGAGTTGTAAGTAGAAGTTCTTGAATTCAAAACTTTCCGCTTATCCAAACAAAAAAAAATCACTCGAACAATGCATGTGTCAAATTTAACTAAGAAGCACGTGCACTAATATTATTGGATCAGCTCAATTTTCTATCGGCTTTAGTCTATGAAACCCATAAAAGCCCATTTGTAAAAGTACTCAGTAACTCCTATAGTAACTCAGTAATAGGCTTACTTAGTAAAAACCTCACAAACTCTCCACTATAGACAGCCAAATTATAATGTCAGTTAATTCATTCCATATTCTCCTTGTACAATTTATCACATTTATTTTTGGGTAAATTATAAATAACCTCCTTGTAGTTTTAGTTATTGTCACATGATATCCCTAATATTTCAAAATATTCACTTTACCCCCTATAATTTTATATAAAGTGGAAACTTAACAAAAAATACCCTATGTAACATCGTTACCAATTGTACTCTAACTTAAATGATAGATCAAATGATGGCTTAACCGCCTTGTATAAAACCATAGGGGGATTATGTGAAAAAAATATAAAAACTATAGGAGATAAAGTGGATATTTATACAAACTATACGAGAGTTAAGTGAATATTGCGATTTCATCACACGTACTTTTGGAATGTGTCTAGTATAATCGTTGTCACTGATTGTGCATCCCATGTATTTTTCATTGTACATAAAATCATAGGGAGGTTCTCTTGTAATCATCGAGGTCCTCTTGTAATATTATATTGCATAATTTTAAAGTAGCTAGCCTATAGTGCCTAACAAAATTCATTGTGCTCTCTCTTATCTTTTTCGCCAAATTAGATTTTGGCAAATGAAAAAAAAAATCATTTTTAGTTCTTAAAATTTGGGATTGGACTAAAGTAGTTATCAATGTTTTAACCACAACAAAAATAGTCCCTAAAGTATTTAAATTTGATCGGATTAGTTCCTAATGTTTTGAACTAAAAAAATGTAGTTCCCAAAGTATATTAATTGACCAAATTAGTCCCTAACATTTTATAAAATCTAAAAAAATTATTTATGTAATACAAGATAAAAATTATAGAAATTAATAAAAACTCATGAGAATTCTACAAAGACTATGAAAGAATTACAAAAACAAATCATAAAAGCTCTCAAAAATATATAAAAAAAGCTTAAAGTAATCTAAAAATCCAATTTAATACCCGAATTAAGCATGTGATTATGCATGTGCTCTGTTTATTTATTTTATGTACTTTCTTCAATAAAATAAATATAGTATTATAATTTGTACATGCACTTTTGTATACGTTTGTGTACAAATATAAACTGTCATATCTATCAAGTGTCTTCATTTCGTCAAAAATCCCTACCTTAAACTTAGTTTATATTTTTCAAAGTTTTTAAGATTTTGTGATTTTTCTAGAATTTCTCCACAACTTTTATGGCATTTTTATTTTTTGTATTTTGTTATATTTTTATAGATATACAAGCATTAGGAACCAATTTGGTCATTATATCTTAGAGCCTGTGTTTGTTTAGACGATATATTAGAGATTAATTTGGTCAACAATGAATACTATACAAATTTTTTTTTTTGGCTGGGAAAATGAGGACTGATTTAGTTAACTCCTAAACGTTGAGGACCAAATGTGCATTTTTCCCTTCGACAGATTTTAGTGATTGTGTATTGGTGTTCATAACTAAAAACATTAGATATCAGTTTTGTTTTTGTGGTAAACTTGTAAGACCAATTTGGTCACAATTAGAAGTATTAAAAATTAGATTTATATGGGAGGGGATGGGGCTGGATGGTAAGATGGAATGGATTGCAGGTAGGAGGTCATGAGTTCAAAGTTTTCACTTATTGAGAGAGAGAGAGAGATTAGATTTATACAGCTAGAACTTTGGGAACCAAAACGACAATATAGCTAAGTTTGGTAGTTGGAGATTTGGAAAGGAAAGAAAAGAGAGTGAGAGAAAGTGAGTTTTAAGTACATTGAAGTTTCCTTAATATAGAAAAGAAGAAAAAAAAGTTAAGCGATTTGTCTATAGTTTTTTTTTTTATATAAGAAAAAAGTTTGAGTGGATTCAGTTTTGGTCATTATCACAGGTCAGGGCATGCCCTTGGACTGATCACTTACAGGAGTTCTTACAAATCACTTACTAATACATTTCTCATATTGGTAGTGAAATTCGAATACACAACTTTTTATGAGAGAGTGATCTGCTCGTATAAACTGAATCAACTTGTGTTGATGATTTGTTTATAGTGCTACCACAATTTATAAAAGTTTCTCGTTCGACCTAGGGAACAAAATAATAGTCTTGCTGGGAGCTTGCTAAATATTTATAAAATACCCATTTTGTCCATAAAAGTTTGATTAACAAAATTTTGTGGACTTGTATTTAGAAATTATTTCATTTCTTCTAAACTCCCAAATAAAATTAGAATTTCTTTTCTTCTTACTCTCATTTCTTTTCTTTTAAAAATTATTTCATTTCTTTTCTCAACGTCCAAATAAAATTAGAATTTCTTTTCTTCTTTTCTCTCATATCTTAAGATTTCTCTTTTCATTTAACAATTATTTGAGAAGGTGTGATGAAGGTACACAACGTGGTAGTACCCTGTGATACATTACCAAAACATATTCTTCAAATAAGTAAAAAGGCTCAGAACACCTTGCCCTCCTGAATTTAGTGGGTAGCCACACTTTACCCCCTTCAACCTTAAATATATATACTTTACTTGCATCAAGATTAGTCAAAGTAAGAAATATAATAAAAAAAAAAGTGAGTGCAATGATATTATTGCACTTTTATTTATGAAATTATCGATAACTTAATATTATTTGCTTTCATTGTTAAAAAATATACATCTTCTCTATCGTATCAACTATATAACAATCTCTGAAAAAAGCTTTAAAAAAAGTTTATATTTAGTTCATATCCTTAAAACTTTTCCTGTCCGATTAATATTCGCTTTTGTTATATGTTTTGTTCATTTATTAGACTTTAAGTCAAATAAAAAGAATAAAATAACACAATACTAAAATAAACATAATTACTATTTTTTTAAAAAGGGGCAACACTAAACTTGTTTTTAGCTTAAAAAGTAGTTTTTTATTATTTTAGTTTCCATGAACTTTTAGACTAATACTATTTTCATTTTTTATTGATATATTTATAGTTTACTATTATTGCCTTTTCTTTTATTAAAATAAAATTTGATTTAATCTCTATTTTTCTTCTCTTAGTTTAGAAATAAGGCATATTAGCCATTTTTAGCAAATTTAATTAAGAATTTAATATTGGACTAATTTAATAAATAAAAATGACAATAATATTAACCTAAAAATTTTAAATAAATTAAAATAATAAAAAAACTACTTTAAAAAATGAGTTTAGTATTACCTTTTTTTTGAAAGTTTGGCAATTATATTTATTTTTAGTATTATGTTATTTATCTATTTTGTTTGAATTAAAGTCTAATAAATTGAATAAATCATATATAATAGTGAACATTAATCTAACGAAAAAATGTTCATGGATATAAACTAAATATTAGTTGTCTTTAACTTTTTGTAGTTTGATATTTTCGTATAGTTGATATGATAGAGAAGTTGTAAATCTTTAAGTAATGAAAGGAAATGGTACTAAGTTATAGATAAGTTCATGAAATAAAAGAATAATAATATGTCATTGCACTCATCTTTTTTATATTTTTAACTTTGACTAGTGGATAAAATGTATATATTTAAGATTAACGTGGGTAAAATGTGACTATCCCCTTAGTTCAGGAGGGCAAAGTGTAAATTGAATTCTGGTAAGTATTAGATTTAGAAAACTCATACTGTTTTGTTGAATTGGTAGGACGTGACTGGCAATGTTTCGTCATAGCTCAATACAATGTGTTGCGGTGCATTCAAAATCAGACTCCACTGGCCAGTTTTCTCGAAATCCGATCAAGAATCGATTGAATCAGTAAAAGTCGGACCATTGAACCGATTTCTATCATTTTTTTTAATTTTTTTTTTCCTTAGTATCAAATGCTATCCAAATTATTTAACATCAAAATCAAAAATAAAAAAAATTAAATCTTAGGTACTGTCAAGAATCAATTGAACCAGTAATAGTCAAACCATTGAACCGATTTCTATTATTTTTTTCCTCTTTTCTTTAAATATCAAATTCTATCCAAATTATCTAACATCAAAATGAAAAGCCAAAATGAATAAATCTTTGGTCCAAACGGTCGAACCGGTTAAACTACGAGCACCTCTGGTTCACTAACCTGGCCGGATTTAAAAACATAACCACGTGCGGTGCGGTACCTTGTAAGTCTAACGTGGAAGGGAAGGTCAATCCAAGCACGTATTGTCAACCGGTACGCCTGATTATATTATATTAATAAAAAAGAATAGATGACCGAAAAGTACCCAAGATTGGAAGACAGCAAAAAATGAACAAAATGTCCAACACCTTAGCAGTTTAGCAGCGGCAGAAGCAGCATCTTTTGGTATCTGCATTTGCAGGAAGTCAGAATAAAGTGCAAACGAAAAGCCCAGAAAAAGGCCTGACCAACCAACAAGGCAGTCTTAGATTCTTGGTATTATTATCTATCTCATCATCTACTTCAAAAGGTCCTTTTATTACAGTTTGCTTCTCTCTCTCTCTCTGATTTTCTGTTTATCTCTTCATTCATAGCAAGTACAAGTAGAATGATAGTTCATGTGTGCAAGGATACTTTGTGTTTCTTGATAAATGTTTTTTCTTTGAGAAATGGATTTTTTTTGTGGGGATTCTTTGAATTGTTGGATAAACTTAACTTAGATTACCTAGTCTCTGAATATAAAGAACAGAAAATTGTTAGTCATGTTGATAAGTTAAAAGTGGAGAAATTTGCAATTCTCAGCTGGAATTCGTATAGAATCATAATAGACAGTCAAGTACATACTCTCAGGATTGTCAGCTCTGGACATACTTGTTGGGAGAGTATTAGGAGGCGAACAGCAAGGCGGTGGTGGAGGCCTTGAGTTGAAGATCTTTAAATTTTGTGTGTCCATTGCAGGTTTGACATGTTTGTTGGGTTAAACAGTATTGTAACAAGGCTGCATCATGGGTTTTGCCCTGCTTGCTATATCAATGAATGATAAGCGAGTCCGGCAGTAGTCCTCCTCATGTTTGGTCAGTCTTGATGGCTGATATTTTAGGTAACTGGTAACATCTCTCCTTTTCTATTGAAAACAAGAAAAGCATTATGCTTCTTCATCAAATAAATAGGTTGAATTAAATGGAGAGAGGAGAGAGATAATCAAAAGAAGAAACAATATTGGCTGGAGCCTGGAATTTATATATGTAAGTATGTATGTATATATGTTTGTAGCGGAAATTCACAACATAAATAATATGCAAAATGGGGACGATGGAGGATTGTATCTACTAATACTCTATTTAGTTTGTTGTGTGGACAGCTTCATGGAAATGGTGGAAAAGTGCAAGCAGAGTCCAACCTTATGGAAGAGAGAAAAAGTTGAAACTCTAGGTTTGAGGTTTGGAGGAACATGCAAACTGCCAAAATGTGATTAGTCTCCTGAATCTTTAGCTTTTCAGCTGGTCTTGATGCAAATGTTGTTGATCTCATTGGAAAAAAGCAATGCTGGAAGGATTGATTATAGGTCCAGGAACTAGCAGATGTTGGAAGACTTGTACTTTGTCTACATAGATTGGAATTGGTGTAATTAAGAGGATGGGTTGGTTTGAAAGGGGCATAAAACAAACGAATTCTTGGACAATTTATTCCCATAATGCAAGATATGGAAAAATTCTGCCTCCCAAATAGATGGCATCCTTTTCTTGGAACCTTTGTTGAAGATTTGTATGGATATTGGTGCTTATGGGAACATGATAGATTGGCCTCAAGCAATCTTTAGTTACATTGTCGTACAGCACAATCTGGCCTGGTTCTGCTTACCGGAGTGGTTGGCTTTATTCTGGCTAATTATAGGACTTCTTGTCTGACTTGAAGTGTGTGATATTGGAATAAGAAGGGGTTTGATGCTTTAGGCGCTGCCCTTCAGTGCTTGATATGGATTTTATGCTTTAAACGATTGGAAGGGCTTATGAGGGGAGAGGAATTAATGATCAGTTGAACACAATTTTTGTGACACTTGATGTTCTCAACAGATATCATTAGTCTCATATATAATCTTTTGTCAAACTCTTGGATTCTGTTGTGTAAAGGCAGATCAGTTTGTAGCTTTGCATGCATTGCTCCAGTGATAATTTAAGCATTTGCAATTAGGAAAATTAATAGAATGAACAAGATGGATTTGCATGTTTAGACTGAGTTGGAACTTTCACATGATTTTTATGCTTCAAAGGGAAAAAGTGTTAGAAGTTGGATTTTTTTTTCTTTGTTAATCTCCATAATGTGTGCTTTATCTTTGGCTTAGTCCTAATTGTTGCATTTATCCTTTTCAGTTACTGTTAACCAGTTCTTTGCAAAAATGTGACTAAGAAATTAAGTATAGGAAGCAATTACTGACTAGAAAATTTTCAATAGGAACTATTCTCTGAGGGAATGCTGTACAGATCATGAGGTTGTTACAGTTTATCATACAAGAGTGTCTAATCTAAATGATGTATACAGTCTTTCTCACTTCTCTTCACCATACTATGAACTTCTGCTCTTAAATTTGGGAGCTATTAAAGTGTTTTTGGTGCATAGTTATGTTAATTGTTGGTTTCTGAGTATTTTGATCCTAATTTCGGCTCTTTTTTTTTTTTTTTTCTTTTCTGTGTGAAGCCTGACCTCATCGCTAGACTTGCTAGTGTAGTATGCAAAAATACTTTTTTGCTATAGTGGCCTACTGCCTACTGCTAAAAGAAGATTTCTTCACAATATTCTTGATGCTTATAATGGGTTAGAATCATGATTTGACCTTACATCCAGAAGTGAAAATGGTGAAATGAGCATGTATTTTCCAATGTGTTATGCAGCAGTAGTGGAAAAGGGAATACTCTCTTTGGTTCTTAAGGAACCATCCTGATTCATTTAAGTTAGTCCTTTGCTAAAGTAATTATTCAGCTATGAACATGTAGGGCATTAACAGCTGCATGATGGCTGACAAAAGTATTTTTTCATTAGTCTTACATGCCGAAGAGGTAGTTCAAAATTACAAGTCACCACAAACAGATTGGTTGGAGAAATAAATCTTTCATGCAAGGAAAGTTAGGAACCAGTCAATTATAGGACCAAAATCTTGATGTGCCTTGTTTTCTAGACCTCCAGTCCACAAGAACCCTAGATCCCGTGGGAGGGAGGATGGCTCTCATGTTTCAGAAGTGGGATGCTGCGGGATACATTTCATATGGTGATGCACAGGGCCTTGGGTAATGAGGTAATATGTGTGCTCTGGCTGGTCCAGGAGGCAATAGTTGATGAAAGTGCTTATGCTTTGGACAGACCACGAGGCAATTGATGGCAACTAGTAGGTCGTGGTCGGTGGCTGGAAGATCCAGATGCCTGTGTTCTGCTATTGTAAGATTTAGGTTGCCCAGGCATGTATTGCCATTGTTGTGGGGTTTGTTAGATCATTGTGTTCCAGCAGTGGGAGCACAGGTAGACCATATAAGCATGACATGATCTCATGGAGTGCATGATGTATGATGCATCACTCATAATAGAAGTCATGCTATGAATAGGATGATTAAATGTGCATGCTAACGTGTATGATATGCATTATGGCATGAGCCTATTATAAATGGTGTTCACACTAATGATTACTGTCCCCCGGTCAAGAATCCACATAGATTGAGACCTACAAAATCTTTGATCATTGCTCCTGTTGCTTCTGAACACCTAGAGGGGCACACTGCACCATCCAAGTGACCATTTTCTAGTGATATGTAGGACACATATTTGAGAAAATTGTATCCCTAATTTGCCACACACGTACAGAACAGTCAGTGTTATTTGCTTGAAGAGTTCTTATATGAGATGAAGATTGACACAATAGTACGACTGTGGAATAAGGATTTGGCCAGTACAGTAATGAGCAACCCAGTCTACCAACTTGAAGAATCTGTGGTGTCCAGTTCATCAGTGCTGCCATATTCTTGAAGCCTTTATCTTCTTTTCTCGTTTATACTCTTTTAAAGCATTGTCAAAACTGAGACTGTTTAATGCTGTTATGCAGTAAAAATTTTGTTGATGGGAAATACAGAATCAACTTCTGGTGACACATCTCGAGACTTTCCACATGAAGCCTCCGGATATGCTGGAAATCCAGTTGATCCTAGTTATCAACACCAACATCCAATCTATGCTGGAAATCCAGTGGACACTAAATATCAGCAGCAGCCACCAGCATCTGCAACAAGTTCATTGAACAGTAACAACCAGAGGAAGCATCGACCAACCTATATAGCTGATAACTTCAATTCACTAGAAGAGGTATTTAATTCTTGTAGGTAATCATACCTTAACCATAGTTTTTTTCTCATTATGTGTTCCTTCAGTGATATGACCTACTACAATTTTCATTTGCTCAATGTTGGATATTTACTTCATGACTTTTCAGTTGTTTGTGAATTGGAAAATGAAATTGTAATAGAGCTTCTATATCAAACCTGAGACAAAGTGAATGTTTTTGTTCCCAGGTGGTTACTGCATTAAGAGAAGAAGGCCTCGAATCATCAAATTTAATTCTGGGAATTGATTTTACACAGAGTAATGAGTGGACAGGTACTTTGATGCAAAATCTGTTCTGTAACTTCCACCTTAGATTAGTAGAAAGGCATATGACAATTTGTTGTTTCTAGGAAAGTATTCATTCAACAGGAGAAGCCTTCATGCAATGGGCACTACACCTAATCCATATCAGCAAGCTATCTCCATCATTGGGCGGACATTATCACCTTTTGATGAAGATAATTTGATACCTTGTATCGGATTTGGGGATGGTTAGTTTTCAGTAATTTTGCTTGTTAACTTGATATCAGAATCGTCTTTTTTGGGCGGAAATGTCATACTGGTTCTTTTATTTCGTAGCATCCACACATGATCAGCATGTGTTCAGCTTTTACCCTGACCATCGACCTTGCCACGGATTTGAAGAAGCTCTTGCAAGATATAAAGAGATTGTGCCTCACCTAAAGTTATCAGGTTTGATGACTAGAGTGCATCATTTTGCACAATGTTTATGCACATTGTTGAAAAATGCATTTGATGATAATATGATTACTATAATCCTGGATGCTTTTATTCAACAGCATTTTATGATTATGATCATGCATGAATGAAGAACGAATAGGACTGAAATCATTAACTATGGTACAAATATGTTTTCCAAACCTTATTGTGGAATCAATTAAATCAACTCCCTCCTGAAATTAAACTAGTAGGAACATGATTCCTATTAAACCAGCAATTCTACAAGGCCCTAGTAATATCTAAGTTTGATATTTTTTAATGCATGAAGGAAAAGCATGACATTTGAATCCTCAGAAGGAAGCCATGATGCGATAAAAGGTATTAGTATTACATTTGATGTCCTAATTGATTGGGGGTCCCACCTAGAAAGATTTCTTAATCCCATCCCATATATCCCCCTTCACCACCCCCACTTTAAGAAAAAGAAAAATGGAAAATCAGAACAGAAAATAAGGGAAAAGTTACTGTGCAACCTATTTTACTAGAATTTCTCAGACCCTAGTGGATTTGGAATCAGATTGCATGATTTAAAACATGGTTCATTGGCAATTAGGAATGCTTATTTTGGTGTTCTGAAGTTCAAAACTTATGCATGTAGAATATATTTTTGTTTGTTGCTGCACCCAATGATTGCATCTAAACCATGGCAGTGAAAAAACTCCTACATATTGAATCGTTTCTCCAGAATGATGTACAAAAATACTCCTTTTTGTTGAAAAGTTTTAATGAAACTTTCCTGTACGCTGAACTTTCTTCCCTCTAAATATCCTAATGAAGCCTAGCCCTAACATTTGCCATTTCTAAGTTTCCTAAAGAAACCTAGCCCTAGTGTTTTGCATTTTGTGTAACTAGCATTCTATGGTCCCTATGTCATTCTGTGGTCCAGAACAATCCAATCTAGGTTGACTACTGCAGAAACCAACTGATCCATTTGATTTAACAGGACCTTTATACATATTTGAACAATATTTTCCTAAGGCTATTTTCAGAATCATCATGTTCTCTTTTCGGTATAAAGTGAATCGCGTCATTCCCACAATCTAAGAGGATTATAGTAGTGTGTTAAGTGCACCTTGCAGAAAAAGATTGTGCTACTTCATTCATTTGGTCTTTACCTTTTCTTTCAACTTTTCTGTTTTCCATCTTTTGCCTTTTATGGGAAAAATGTTTGAATGCCATTGCAATAATCATTAAAGACAAATAACTAATGCACATCTTTCACTACATATCTCTGGTACCTTCCTCTTTCTATGTAAGGTTATCAGTTTTCTGCTGTGAGTTATTAATAGTGCACTTAAACTGCAAAAATGTTGCAGAATAATTATCTACCACAAAATGAGGCTTGTAAACCAATGAATTGGAAACCGAGTTTCTAACATCTCTCTATCTGCATGTCTGATATAGTTAACTTTTGATTCTTTTCCTAGCCTTACTGATGCATGCAAATTATAGGTCCAACATCCTTTGCACCAATAATTGATTCTGCAGTTGATATTGTAGAGAGAAGCAATGGGCAATATCATGTCCTTGTAATTATTGCTGATGGACAGGTTCAATTGTTGTACTTTGATGAACTTTATAAGCTTTTATTGACTCTCCTGCGTGACCTTTTCTTGTCCTTTATTGTTTGCATATATTATTAGGTTACTAGGAGTTCCAATACACCACATGGAAGGTTTAGTCGACAAGAGCAGGCAACTATTAATTCTATAGTTGCTGCAAGGTAATACCGTGGACTTGGAAATCCCCTATTTGTTCTTTGGAGTTCACTAATTTAATACTTAATGCAAAGTGAATATTCTCTTTCAATTGTTCTTGTTGGTGTTGGGGATGGACCCTGGGAAGAAATGCTACAATTTGATGACAACATTCTCCAAATATTTTGAATTTACTAACATAATATGAATGCACAGTGAATATCCTCTTTCAATCATTCTTGTTGGTGTCGGGGATGGACCTTGGGATGAAATGCAACAATTTGATGACAACATTCCTCAACGTGCTTTTGACAATTTTCAGGTACTTGCTAACAAAATCAAATTTATTTTGTGCTTAACATTAACATACTCCAGGCAACTGTATACTTGATAGTCCACATTGTAGATTTTTGCATGATTAACTTATCTACAGTTGCAGTTGACTCAAAGCCTTCCTGAATTATAAATCCCTCTAACCAACATGTTATGGAATCTTATTGAGTTTAAAACTTTAAGGCCGTATATACCAGTCTTCCACAGTGGAAACATCTTTCAAGATTTTTTTTTTTTTTGTTTGTGGTGGGGGGGCCCGGGGAAGAGAAACCAAACTGGGGAAAAACTGAGACGAAAAACAGCTCCTCTGCAGGAACTAAAAAACATCAGGTTAACAATTATGCATTATCCTCCAACAACTAGAAGCCAGTTGTCTAAATAGAACTATACATCTAAGGCTTACTGAAGAATGGCATACATATCAAGTAGTTGAGAATTTAAAGTTGAAGGCAAAGTAATGTTCTGCAAAATTGCGCATTAAACATTTATGGATGACTGAATGAAACATGCCAGGCAGGAGGATTTAAAAACAAAGGACCAACTCTTCAAGTTTAAAGTTGCAAGAAAGTAAAGATTAACTTGTGTTCTTCAATTTAAATCTGAAGTATGGTCCAAGGACCCTCTAACAAGTACATGCTGAGTGAAAATGGGCCAATTGAAAAATACTTACCTTCCGCATCCGCTCTGCAAGTTCAACATGTGCTGCCTTGACTTCATAATCATCTCCAGTTTTTGTGAGACCCTATTAAATTGAGAGGAGGTGATCCAGAGATGAAAACCAAAAGTTCATTAAATTTCCTAATTGGTCAAGATAACAGACAGCTTCACATTTAGTAAGTAAAAGAACTACTAAGATTATGTAATCAATTCCAAATAAAAGCTGTTTTCTTACCTTAGTAATCACCAAAAGAGACAAATCCACACGATTCATAAGAAGATCTGCAATGGTATTCTTGACATATTGCACGGCACCAGGAACATCCCTGTCTATTAGTATTTTGTGAAGACATTCAGTTACAAGGTTTTTGACCAATAAACAGTTATCTCTTCGAACTGTTTCAATCCCTGAAAGAGAAAATTGAAATATTTTATCAGCTATGTCGACTGTGATAATTTTCAATAAGAAAATTATTCTGAGACTAAAAACAGGAAAAGAAAACTTGGTCACCTTTAGCATCCATTTTGTCAAACTTATTGGGATTTGTCCAAAGAAGGCCAGCGTATCTCTTCTTGCTAATTAATAGATATGGATAATATACCTTCTCAAACTCCAACTTTATTGGCTATAAAATAAACACAGACACAGGAGAAAATAAATAAGAAAAAGGAAAACGAGAGGACAAAGGAGAGTCCATAGAAGATGGAAAACTGTCTATTAGTTTTGCTACTAAAATCTACCAAGGTTTGAGAAAAAAGATATATAAAATGGCAAAAGAAAAGGACTAGGATATTTGAATGTTATGGAATTTAAGAATCTCGAAAGTATGTATTTCACGCTAAATTCATGACTAAAAACAAAAAACTACAAATTTTGATTTTGATGATGTGTGTGATTTTCACTCAAGTCTTACCTAGAGGTTTGATTATCAAGAACATTGACTTTGCGCAAAAAAAAATTAGTTTCTGAATCCCACAACTAGCAGCCAGATACATCTCTAAAGGTATAAGAATGGTACTTGAAGAGCTCCAGATGGGTTGCTAGAGCACTGGCTCATTCTTAAGAAAGGTCCCTCATATGGAATTGACGACCTCTTCTTCAACACCAGAGGCACACCCAACATCAAATGAATAAGGGTTACCGAGTTTGTTTAAGATGCACATGTAACATATTCCTCATTGCTATCTTTCTACCAAGCTAATAAGATCAGAAATTCCTAATCAGAATTGATCTGAAAGTTTCCTCAGCATATGAAAAGGTAGATAATGAAATATGCTGTCAGAAGCATAAAATTAATCTGCTTCTTGATGCATTTGAACAGTATCACACTCGACATCAACTTTCAGAATTCTGGTCTGGTTGCCTTGCCATTGTCTCTGCAAAGTGCTGTAACTTGATGCCTAGGGAAAACTTTAATTACTGTCCTAAGACATATAAGGTCCATGAAAGGTTGCAGGTCCATAGCCAATTTGTTTATGAAGTACATGTTAGCAAACTTCCATATAAGGTGTCTTTAGAGAAAATAAATGCACTAATTAACCACTCAGGCAAAAAGCCATGGTTAAATTAAGACCCAGATTGAGATCATTCAAGTAAACAGAAAGGAAAGAAAACAAGTTTATATTAACATATAAAACAACAAGAACATTGCAGACATTACATAAATTTTGAAAAAAATAGTCACTTGACAACAGAAAACCATATTGTACATAAGAACCAAGTTAAATAATGATCAAACAGAATTTCTTAGAAAATAGTCAAGAACCTATTTAGGTTCTTATAATTCTTAGAAACTTGAACGTGGTATTAAAAGAACCAAGGATAGCTACTAGCGATTGAGAAAGGAAGAGTTTCATTACTTACTTTCGTGAAAGTTCCGCTAATGTAGTCAGCAGCTTCTCTACCTAGGTTCATAGCTTCTTCAACTGTAGGGACGCCAAATTGCACCATCACAGAATCTGTATCTCCATATATTACCTGATAACAAAGTGATGTTCAAGTACAAACTACTACTGATCTGGTACACCAAGGAATGTACCTACCACATTGTCTCACAATTAGCTCGTGCAGCCCTGAAATTGTGAACTAACACCTAATCTTTTCATTTTCTTGTCAATGAAGATGGCACATCATAAGACCAGGCATAGTTCTACAATTTAGACAATTAAATAAAATATCCATCACACGTTACCTTCTGAATTAATACAGAAATCAGTAACTACAATTCCACTTTTTTTTTCTTGTCAATGAAGATAACACATCATAAGAGCAGGCATAGATCTATAGTTTTGACAATAAAATAATATATCCATCCCAAGTTATCTTCTGAACCGATAGAGAAACCAGAAACTACTATTCCACTTTCCAGCATTACAAACTAACAGGCTTTTGTTAGTTCTCATAGTCCTGTGATACCTTTACAAGCCATTCTCCACATCATATGATGTTATCAAAAGGCCAAGGCTGAAAAGGATTCAATAAAAAACATAAACTGTTTACCTCAGCATTATGTTCATAGCCCCCAAGCACTGTGAATTTATCTTCCACCAGTTTCTTGGTGTGTTCAATCATCTGTCGACCTTCAACATTATGGCCAGTCAAATGGATCAGGTAATTGTAAAACAAAATCCGTGGTAATACCGTTTCAAGAAGTAAGGGAGATGATATTAGAATCCCAATCCCCAAAAACAAATTGAAAAGTGGAAATAGAAAAAAAGAGGTCATCAGGACATATTACCATAACTTGTGACACTCGAAGATATTTCTAGACAAGGTAGTTGACCCACTGTAGCTCCTGTAAACCCATATACAGAATTTGCACTTATCTGTAAAGTTCAGAAGACATTGAACAACTTAGATTGCTTCAGAAACATTGTGATAAGAGCAAAATGACTTGTCAAGGGCATAATTACAAGTCTACAAATCGCCGATAATTTCAAAGGTCTCATTACCTTCAGAGCCAGTTGACGACCATCTAAAACAGCTTTTACCAGAGGATCCCTCGCTTCCTAAAAAAAACTGTAAAGTTAATACTGCATGCATAAGATTTTTCTGGATAGTAATGAAGGGATACCCTCTCAAGAGAAGTGTAACTTAGAAAACCCTCTAATGACCAATGCTAATACTTGTCAAATTACCAACTGCATTGGCTCTTGAAAATCTGTAAGGTCTAACAATTCAAGAAAGCCTGAAGTGGTTAAAAAAAACCTCTCAGAGTGAATGACATTTATCAACTTATCTTGTGGAGTTTCAAGACCTAAACATAGTTTAGTCTTGAAAAGTTTTGTCATCAAATCCCAAAGCCAAAGGCCTTTAAACATTGCAAGACAAATATATATAATAGACTAACCAATATTATGATACAGAAACTGCAACAAAATTCAGTGTGTGAGTAGCACCTTCAAGTCTGCTTTTGCCCTTTTACGAGCAGCCAACAGTTCTTCAAGAATTTCTGGAAGTATTCCCTGAAGCAACATTTAACACATTACTAAAAACTCACACACTGTATACAAATGCATTAAAGCATCAATAGAAAGATTAACCTTCTGTAAATTTGTTTTGACAAATGTGTCACCAGATGGAGTTTTAGTGACCCATTCTGGAGGAAGGTTAAGTCTACGCATGTCTTCAGGAGTTACCTATAAATAAAATTCCAGATCAATCATACCTCCATCTTGATCCAATCATAAAACAATCAAAAACACATTTCAGTTCCATCCTCCCCTCTCAGCAGGGAAATATGGGAACAATAATGTCTTACCAATGTACAGTAACACAGATTATAAGCCATCATAATTGAGGGATACAGAGATGCAAAATCAAGTGTTGCAATAGGCTTCTCAAAAAATCCTGCACTGGCTTCCAAAACCTGTCAAAGGAATGATGTCAAATATATAAAACCACCATAAGAGGCTCCAAGTCAGATGAATATGAAAGCTATCATAATACATACTTTTGAAACTCTATGCCAAAATTATATCCACCCAAAGAAGTCAAAACACCATCACTAAAAATTTGCAGATTCAATACAAGCAGCCCAATTAATTTCCTTCTATATTTGGGCATCTCAAGACAGTGAAACAATTGTCCATGCTGTAATGAAAATACGACCTGTAAGTATCTTTCTAACATGCCCATATTCATTGCATTACATCACAAAATTGAGTTGCAAACTAATTAATGAAAATAAGGGATTTTAGAAGAAAAACAGGAACATCATGTTCTCCTGATTCGGGGAACAAATATCTACCACTTTAGCATGCATTGGAAGGGAATTAGCAGAAATTGAAGAAAAGCAGCAACAGCAGCAGCGTTATAAGCACAAATGTGTTTTCCCTTTCACTATTCAAGTTCATCAAAGTTTCACCCAGATAGCTTAATTGCTGGAGCTACTAATTGCTTCTGATATAACATCAGTAAATGGAAGATAATATGCTTATCAAATAATATTCTCCTAATTAGTCCAGGTCACTACATGAAAGATAGCAGTTGATGTCTTATCAAGCAAGTTCAGAACATGGCAAAACAAATTCTAATGATTTGACGGAACCACCTTAACGCTCCTCCTAACAAGATCAGAAATGAAACAGTTCAGCAGAAGTATACAACCAACATAGTTGCTCAATCTTGTGTAGCAAAAACATCATAACAGGACAAAGACTTGATGACAAAACTATGTCATACACTTCTTATATGAATTTAAACCTCATAAAGGAAAAGGAGATCAATTGCTTACAGTTGCACCCTCAAATGTTCCTTGTTCAGATCCGGCCTGTTTCGCATTGGGAATAACAAGATTCTTTTGTTTTGCTTTCCTAAGAAGTTGAGATAACACCTGAAGACAGTTGTTACAAGTTTCACATCCGCTTATAAATATAGGGAGATAAGTGAGACTCCAATAAATTAAAATATATTCTATACGAAAAAGAACAAAATGGTAGCAAAGCTTACAACCAACCTTAATGCTCTGCCCTCTTGAGAGAAGAAATGAGATAGGGACACCTGTTACTCGGGCCATCTCCACATAGTTGTAAATGAACATCAATTTGTCCAAAAGCCGTTGTGGGAGATAAGCATCCTACAGCAAATCTACTAAAGTAAGTTTTTCAACGTAAAATGCCCCTGAACTTACTGATTACCATCAGATGTACAACAAACATTTCAAGATCCGACCACCAACTTCCTGTGAGTAAAAAAAAAACTCCATGCAGCTTAACATTTACTAAACATAGACCTTTATGAATATCCAGTAAGAAATCGAAAGTAACAGACATCTAATTGGAACCCTAACATCCCCAGTCCATTCAAAAAAACAACTCTGTATGTGCCTCATGTTCCTCCAAGAGTGGACGAATGTGCAGCTTCTTCTTTCACGATTTAGAGACGAGTTAATCAAAGATATTTGAAAGGAAATGGAAAAGGAAGATTTCTAGCTTCATAAATGAAAAAGATGGTCAAAGGTTAGGAGCATGAATTATACAGAACACTTTTGGTACCATACAGCAAAGCTGGTCCACGAGGCTCCTGCAGTGCTAAACTCTACCCACAGAAAGGATAAGGTCGATTCCTCTAAGACCCATGACCTCAGAAGTCAAAAGAGAACAACACTGTCTCAACAAGAATACCCTTATTTCCAATATAAAAAGACTATTGCAGTAGATTCCCTGAAATTTCCCCAAGACAACATAATAATATATCTAGCATATTGTAGCAACCATAAAAGACAGCCAATAAAATTTAAAAAACAACAACAGCAACAAAGAAGAAAAACATATAGAAAGACAAATGCACACACCTTCAAACAATACTTAGCGAGACGCATCCTTGTGTCTGAGTTCCCATTCTGAAGGTCAGATATGATTGAATGGTGAACATCCTCCTTCTGCACAAATAAAATATTTAATGAGCGCATCATAGTCAAACAGATATATCCTATAAACAACCTCTTTCTGCACATAACTAAAATTTCAACAAATGTCTTAAAATCCAAACAGATAAGCATATCCTATACGCGCGCGCGAGAGAGAGAGAGAGAGAGAGAGAGAGTTTCTGAAACAAGATGCATTAGAAGGCACAAGAACAATGGTTTATTCCCAAACTGCAGAACCAGTGAATGAACATCAGCTACTCTAAAAATAAATGTTCTGCTTTTGCCAGCAAAGATCTTTGTAATGTATATTTATGTGTAAAAACCAAAGCAACAGAACCAGTTATTTCTCACCAGCACAAGGCTGAAAGGAAAAGTAACTATGACTGGATAGTTACCAGCTTTTAAGCCTGTACCCTTAATCTCCCTTCCTGGGCTTGCTTACCCACCCAGACAACTACCAACCATGTGACCTTAAGGAGAAGAAAAATGTTCTCCAAGGAAAGCACATATCTAGTCATATGGTCCTTGTCAAAGAAGTCACCTTCTCCCTGAAATCCTACCTTTTGTTCACCCATCAGGTATGACAAAAAAGGACCAGGTGCAGACTTGATTAATATGATGGGGACCATGAAAGCCCAGATTGGCAGATGAGTCCAGGATTACCAGACGCTTGCCTACAACTCCAGTTAAGCCAAAATATATTAATATAAATATGTTTTTTTTTGTTAATGCATGCTAAGAATTCAGTCCAAGACTTCTCTCTCTCTTTTTTTTTTTTGGGGGGGGGGGGGGGGGGTGGTGGTGGGTGGTGTGTTAGTCTTAGGATCAAATATAAAATGGTCATAGATGTGGAAAGCAATACCAGGACTCGAAAGTCCAGGAGGCAAACAAAACCATTCTTACAGATTCATAAATCATCCCAAAACAAACAACCATCTTGTTCTATCAGCTGCTTTTAAAATTTTGAATCAGCTTGCATTCACAAACAGACAGCCTTCTATTTATACTAGAAGGAGAAATAATCTTCTACGAGAATACATACAAGAAATAAACACAAAAGACTTTTAAGGCACATTAATGTAACCTCTGATCATGCCAGAATACATATAGTTTCTAAACCAACAAATGAATCCAAAAACTTTTGGTCTGAGTTTTATCCACGATTCATCTTTACAGGGAGAAATAAGTCTTGGTCTATAACATACAACCTAGTCTTCTCTTATGCTTCATTTTGGTGTTCAAATACAAGCTTTCAACTCTTTTTATGATCTAATCTGATTTGCTTTTCAAACTGAAATACAATTGCATATTAAGATTTCTTTACAGCAAAGACCGAGGAACCAGGGGGTGAAGGGAGGTCACCGCCCCAACACCCCCCCCCCCAAATGGGCACCTTAATTAGTGGAATTTCTTAGCGCCCCCATCATTTTAGGAACTCTTTTGAAGATTTTCTATTTTGCTCCCATTTCTACTATTGCACCAACTCCCTCCTCTTACTTTCATATTTCCTCAATTTATGTCCTTAAAGTCTACCCATCCAAAGAAGAAAGGAACACTGTCCAATTGATTTATACCACGACTTCTCTATACTGATTTTAAAATTTAGCCCCTTCAAAGAAAATGCTTTCAAACAAGTTGTTCTGCAATGCATATTCGTTTCTTCCCATTGACAGAATGCAAAAAGAGCAATTCAATACTCAAATACTAAATACTTCTAAAAAAAACACTTAATAAATTTAGCAAAAAAGATATCATAGGGAGTAAAATGAAAGGAAAAGCAACTTGACCAATTTCAAAGATCCCTACACAATATGTCCATTTAGCAAGTGCCTTCACAAAAAATATCCAACCAATACTAGAAGTACAGAATGCTATGTACCCTTAAACTATGTAAAATATCCTTACCTGCTCATTAAGGAAATGTGCAGAGACTGAGTTCAATGAATACGAACTTAACTTATAATCCCTCTGCATAACCTGCAGCAAAAGACATGGCACAAAAAATGACTTGAGGAAATCTCAGAGTGAAATATCTTATCACCATGACTGAATAAAGAAGACATTTAAAAAAAGAAATCCCCAAGAAAGCATAGGGGTAAATGCCTCATAAGCAAAACCTGAAGCAAGTCAAATTGAACTCTCCCTTCTATTGTAACTTCTTTACTTTCCCTGGTACCGTATTGTCTGCATTACCAAAAAATTACAATCAATCATTGTTGTTCACTTACTTACCTGACACAACAGGAAAATTTAAAACAGTAACATAATATATAAGTACCCAGACATCAGACAGTTCAAGGGACAAAATCCATTAAACTTTAAAACCTATTATGGACTCCCACATAAAATCTCATATGGTTCTCCAACTCCAAGATGATACTGATAACATTTTCCACAGATTAATAGGAGGCTTTGCAAATAAAATGAACTTTCCTTACTCTACTCATTCCAGCATATGAAAACTCAAATGCGTATATTTTAACAGCTTCAGTCCTGTCTTATTAAGCCTTTCAAGGCAAGCAACTATGGTGATTTGTCAATTATGGCTAACTCATGATTAATTTGACTTCATTGAGAATCAGCTACGTCCATTCAAGTGCATTCACTTAATGGCTTACTCCAGTAATGTGAACATTGGATTGTCTGATAACAAGAAACTTAGGCCCAGAAAAACTGGATGTCGCATATGTACAGAGATAGAAAGTTAACCGCTTCCAACAGCAAAGAATGGAGCCAATACCTACAAGATCCATTAAAGAGTTACTTTTCTATTCTGCTATGAAAATAGAAAAGTATAGCAGGAACCAAAGAAAAATAACCTTATCTTCAGGCAGATTTTGAATTGAAAGTTCAGTGATTTTGGTCCTGAATTTTCCTTGTATGTTGAAAAATGTGCCAGTTCAAACCTGTTATATTCTCCCAGGGAGCATCTGTTTCCTAGAATTCTTTCATAAGTGTGTCATAATCTGATTTTTTTTCTCTTTCTTTTTTCCCTTCTGGGTATCTTCTTTTTCCTGTATTTGACTTGCACATCCAAGAACATGAATTCCTTTTACACGTGACAGACCGGGCATCCACTCAATCAATGCAAATTAACTAGACACTAGTTTGAAAGAGGATAAACAACATTTTTCATGTAAGTTTTATAGCCTGAAATTATATGGAAGTGGTCTGTATGATGAAATAAAGAGACAAAAAGCTAAAACTATATTAAATGAGCATAGATAAGAAACAAGGGTGACTTATATCTCAAAGAAAAGGACTAAACAAGAGTAGGATAAAGCAAAGGCAGCACTCAAAGGTAACATAAAACACAGAGAAGACAAAAACACATGACCGTTGCATGTTCACTTTGCATATTAACATACATTAAAGATAAATGTGGTGCTTCACACATAAATGTTAAAGGGTGACGCCAACTATCTAAATGGGTCTTTTTAAGTGAAGTAATATTTTGTTCCCTTCCTCAATGTATGCTGTCTTCCATCTGTCTGACTCTTTTATCTCAGACAGCAGAGCTACTAGAGATGCAATGCACATAAACTGGATGAAATATGCTTGCAAGAAGCAGACCAAAATGAGGTTGCATTACAAAACCTTACGGAACGAGAAGCAAAGCAACAAGCAGCATGGATTACTATAGGTAACTGGATTTGCAGTCTTCTGCAACATCTCAATTATCTCTGTTAAGGGCAAATTGCGGATTTGGGCTTTACTTAGTTACCATATAACAAGAGTTATGGATATTTACCATTTCCAGATGACTGGGCTGTTGAAAAATTGGCCCGATCAATCCCATCTCCTAAACATTAAGTTCTGGTTTTAGTTAGCAATTTCTTCATCCAGTTCTCTAATAAAGGCCTTGCAAGGAATATTAAATGTATATCCCAAAAACCACCGAATGACTGAAAAATCCAGTATTAGGAAGTGATTGAGCTTCTTCTACCTTCTGTTGCTTCCTTTATCATTCTTTCAGATGGTTCTTTTTCGTCGTAACTTCCTTCCTCTCACAAAATCTTTCAATTCTCCATATTTATTTGGCTATCTGTTCATCTATAGAAACTATAACATTTCAAAGGCAACAAGCAAGGAATTCAAATAATTTTCCAAGTCCAGAAAAGTCAACAGGGGCAGAGTCGTAAATAACCTAAACAACTAGGCGGGTTTTGTGTTCAACAGGTAGCTATCAGCTTTGACAATTAGGATAGATAAGGTAATTACTCAACAAGGTGGTGATAAAGACCAACAGAAAACGCACATCTTGTGTTGCAAAAGCAAAAGGACTTGTATAAAAAATAAAAATAAAAAAAGACATGAGAATCAGCAGCTAGATAAATATCCATGTGTCACTCTGTATCAGTATCACATCAAGTTCAATACGCCACTTAGATTCACCAGGTGTTTAGTTGCAAAATAAAAATTAATGACTAAAGAAAGAAAGAACAAATGCATTGCTTTGTTGATATAGTAGGATGGTGAGATTTGATGATCTTCATCAGAGCTTGCCAGGCAGAGAAAAGAAAGGTCAAAAATATAATTACCTTGAAGAAAATGTAGTATCTTTGACACGGACTTTGCTGTTTATGATCCGTCCAAGTAAAGGAAACTCTGTTATTCCTAGCACTTTAGCCCTCTAGACAACATCAAATGCAAATCAAATACTTGAGATTGGAAAAGGCATTAACACATGGAAGGTTAATCATGAAAGGAATGATGAAAAGGTTCCTCTACCTCAATAAGATAGGGCAGATCGAACTTGCAGATGTTATACCCAATTATAATGTCAGGGTCCACTTCACGGATAAAATCCTAAAATGTTAAAAAGAAAAAGATAAAGCTGAAATAAAAGCACCAAAGCAGAGAAAAAAATCACATTGCCCAAAGAATGCTGCCATTAGTTTTTCAATCCTGAACTTTGCCTTTTCCTATCAAAGACTTGGCATGCTTCTGATAAGCCGCTATTAGTAATAAGAGAAATTTGTAGATTGTATCCTGTAAATGCAAAATTTGTATAATTTCTCCTGTGAATGCAGAATAAAAATGCATCTTTCCAAGTGAAATCTTTGGAACTCATAAGTACGCAACATTTCCACCACTGCACCATCACAACCAACAAAAATTTCACCAAGGAAGATAAAAGGTCTCTTAAACTACTAAGCATTTGCAGACAGAAGCTCATTTCAACAAAAAAATTAGTGGTATATGTGTATCAAGTGGCTATTTGTAAAGATTTATTGGTCCAGTACCTTTTGGATTTACTCTAACTTCTTTCTTTTCACTAGAAAATACAATTCATTTAGAACAATATATGACATTGCCACAAACAACCCATTCCATACCACCCAAGAAAGAAAGGTGCTAACTATGACTAATCAAAATCAACAATGAAGCTTCTATGTTGAGCATATTACCCGCCAAGCAAGTAAGACCTCTTTCTCGGTGTCAAAGGACATAACATCAACGCCAGCAATAGGTGAGCACGACTTAAGCGTCATTACATTACGAACAAATGGCTGATCCTGTCCCTGCAATGTAACTACATTGGCCACCTGAAATGCAAGAAGAGAATGTCATTCTGAAAAAGCTTTAAGGCATAAAGTATTCTCTACCCATCAGGGGATGAGAACAATCTAACCTGGATAACAGGATCATGGATGGGCTCAGGGAAAAGACCTTTACGACCTGCACACTCTATGTCAAAACTTAAAATGCGAAAGGGAGCCATCTTTGAGAATTCTCCTTCAGGAACATGGCTAACTAAGTCTGTGTAACTAAGACCAATCGTTAAGGAAATATTTGTTCTAGAAAATGCACAATTCAATATAATTCTGCCAAGAAGAGATCTGATTTCAACACCATAGAAGATTGTCTTTTACATGTATTCTAATAGCATTTTAGAGTCAGGATACAGACAGTCAAACTCCAACTGGCAGTAGGACAGGTTTTTCGCTTTCTTTATATATTTTCCTACTGGCACTTCAATCCAATTCCCACCAACAATATTGCAATCAATCATGAACCGCAGAGCAAACAGAATATTACTCTCATACGTCATAAAGCTCTTCAAGCCAAGCCCATCAATTTGTATGCCTCTGTCCAGGATACCTAATAAGTTTTGTCATGTTAGATGGAAACAAACAAAACAACAGTAAAATCATATATCAGGACCAAAAAAAAAAATCATCTAATTACACTACTACACTGCTACACGTCCAGTCTACACTGCTATACGTCCAGTCTACACTGTAACCCTCATTTCCTTCATCTTCCAGGGTAGGTGGATGCAGAGCATATACATTTGTGGCTAATCTACACTTGAAGAGTCTTTTTACCAGGCACATTTGTAAACTTACGGACCAATTAATGCAGCATGTAAAAAGTCATCTCTGATAACAAAGACATAACAGCTAAAATAGGCCACGGCAGATTTTTCCACTTCAGCAAAAGGATAAACCATCAATCTGATGGCCCAGAAACCATGAATGCTTTGTACAGAAATTCACATTGAACAATTCATTGCAGTGATAAGCCTGGTAACAGTGTAACAAATTCTAACCACGACAGCTGGTAACCATTGTTGGCAATGCCACTACTATCTTGAGGAAAGGCTGAGAATTCTGCTGTTGATAATACATTATGCTTCTTCTCTGAACCAATTCAACCCGCCGCACAAAATAAGGAACATTGCTATTCCTGTTCACATCTCTCATCCTTCCCTGCACCAATAAGCAAGGAATGAAAAGAGAGAGAGAGAGAGAGAGAGAGGGTTGAAAATTATTTTCGTGACCAAATGGGACAGTAATTTTAGGATAAAATGGATGGACAGGAGATTCAATATTTTGGGTGACTTTATGTTCTAAGAAAACAGGATGCCACAAACGTGCACATATGTAGACTGCAAGGAATGAGGCACCTCAAGAATTTGATGAAGATAAATACAGGGTGGACATATGTAAAATGAATTGAAAGAGTACCTACCTCGAGAATTTGATGAAAACGCGAAATGTCATCAGGACCCATTCCTGGAGGGCAGCTGATGTAGAAATAAGGTTCAAACCCATGTACGTGACAGCAAACACTATGTCCTGGCCAACAACCGAGACAGCTTGCTTAATACTTGTATGATAACTTTCAATGCAAAAAATGAAGAAAATAAATAAACACAAATAAATAGGACTACTGCTTATAACTACTTTATATGTACCAATTTATTTAACCTTTATAAAATTATGCGAACATGAATAAGCATAATCTGCATTTTCTTCATTACCATCAAACACTAAATTCACAAGCGCAACATCCTAATTCCAGTATATTCATATTTATCAAAACATAGCAACATCTAACACGAAGCATAAACTTGAAAGACTGAATTAACAAAAGTTAAACTTCCAAACCTATCCAATCCATAAAGGAGCCCTATTTCGATTTTCAGTTGCACAAATTCTAGTTCAAAAAATATCACTGAACAATTTATTGATGTCTTGAAGTACCACTTTTTGTGGCCACAGATGTGAAGAGAAAAGATCATCAGTTTTTCCTTATGTGTGGAAATAGCTTACTTATTGGGACAATAAGCCATATGTGTGTATAGAAAGAGAGAGAGAGAGAAACTGTCAAACTTTCCAAAGACACAACCAAGCATGAAATTTACCAAAAACTAACTACAAAACTTATGCAGAATCAGTTGGTCAATTTCAATCCCGTTTAACTAATTGAAACAGAACCCAACAGACCAATCAACTCAACCCCCCCCCCCAAAAAAAAGACATACTAGAATGGTACTACTCCAGTTCAGCAGTTAAAGAAAAACATTAACTATTTTAATTACAATGCTATTACTCATATTTTCTGTAAGAACTTCAATAGACCACAAATTCAGCTCCATATAGTCAGTACCAGACCCCATATTAGTCCAAAATAAATGTAGAAATACTCGAATACATACGCACCTTCTTTGGTGACACCAAAGATTCTCAAAATAGGAGCAACACCAGAAGACTTAGGCAGCAATTCTTTATGACTCTCGCCAATCACATAGTCAATTTCCAGCTGTTGAAATACTACTCAAAGAAAAAAAACAAAATTAACCACAAGTTTCAAAGAACCATTAAATTTCACATTTTTAACAAACCCTAAACTTCAGTATTATAATCCATATTAGGCTAAAATACAGCAATGGCAACTTCAGTAATAACTAAGTCAAAATGGTAATTAAACAACATACCGATGCTCTGAGACTGTGAGGTGTAAAGTTGAGAAAGCGGAGGCCGCTTCCATTTTTGCAGCCGCTCCTCGGCTTCACGCAGGGCTTGGGTGTCTTCTTTGTTCAGGGGAAGTGGGGTTTCGTCGAGGTAATAGTTGTCCTCGTCTCCCTCGTCGTCTTCCATCGCAGCATGGTGCTTCTGCTGCGGATGTTGCGAAGGCGCCGGCGGCGGAGGCCGTTTTCTGCTGTTGCCGGTGTTGCTCATATCGCCGGAGTTAGGAGAAGCCAACGGGGGAGGAGAGAGAGGGTTTTGGTGGAGCGTGGGAAGTCGGGTTCCCGCCAAATTGTTGTAGTTGGGTTTTTTAAGGGTTTAATTTCACGGGATTATTGGACGGTAAAAACAAATCAGAACGGATCCCTGAAATTGGATTCGGATCTGGACCGGTTGTCCAACCGGGAGGACCAGGCAGATACAGTTGGTTTATATTCAATTAGGTACGGTTGGTTAAGTATAACATCGGTTGTAAACGAATCAGACTGCATACGAATCGATTCAATCAAAGTTTGACTCGAGTTTGGTCAATTGTCATAATTCCAAATATATTGGATAATTCATATCTTTAGTTGTTAATATTATAGTTTAGTGGAGTTTGAATTGGTTAGCAAGGATAAACATGTATATATACTTATAAATTGTTGAAAGCTATTGAGTAATATTAGAATTTCAAATCAATTTCTCTCAGGCGACGCCAAAATTTCAGAGCAACTCAAGATTTTCCAAGATATTCCTGAACAACACTTAACCCTCATGGCTTTTAACAGTTCAAGGGACTTTTATGGAACAATCGAGAGTTTACTCTTTCATAAGAATCATTGCCTGTGTAAAGAGAATAAGAATGAGTTTAGCCTATCATGGTTTCTTAGTAAAATTCTGATATTCAAACTTTTCTGCCTTTCTTTCATTTCATTCAAGGATTTATACATCAGAAAGATAGCTCTTTTTTAATAGTAGAACGACTCTTTGGAATATTAATGAGCTTTCAAACAACCAAGCGACTCTTTAAACAGTAAAACAATTATTTTGAATATTAAAATACAAACGACTTTTCAAACAACCAAATAACTTTTTAAGCAGTAAAATGACTTTTCTATGGGATCCATTGAATCTTCTTTCAGACATGAGTAGGATAGTAGATATCCTCATCTGGTGTGTCTGATGGAGTGCTATCAGGATCAGTAATGTTGTACATCTCAATGTGATCCATGTGTCTTCTTTTATTCTGTCTTTTGTTGAGATATCTTTGCTTTGTTGTCCTTCCTTTGAATTTTGACGATTGTGCAGAAGAACTTGCTCCTTGGTCATACGGATCTTGTGAGTCTTGCATAGCACTATCATTTATCATTTTCAGATAATTTTTCTTGGCTTTTTCAATTGTATTCCAATGGGGATGAATGGTACGATAATTCCAAGGACCATAATGTCCTGTCCAAATTTCTTGTGGAATGGATTGGTTTTGTTGGAATATGTACCTTTAGGCTTCTTCATGCTCTTCATCAAGGTCTAAAATAGTATGGAAAAATTCCTATAGATAACTGCACTTGAAAGAGTTTGGAGGAGAAACAGCATTAAAATAAAATGAAGTTGATTTCCGAAGAGGTTAGGAGATAATGATTTTGTCTGTAAATATCAAATCCAAGAATGATATCTTTCCCTGTGAAATTTGCTCCCAAAATTCGAGTTTGAATTTGACAATATGGGAGTACTTTGATGATAATGGGGTTTTTTGTTCCAAACCTTGTTTGGAAAATTTCCCCATCAGCCACTTTGAAATCATGGATTTATTTAATCCAATATGAATCAGGTAAAATATCCTTTTTCAGAATGGATATGGTAGCACTTGAATCAAAGAAAGCAATGACTGGAATAGGTTTAGAGTACTTATCCATTAAAATATGAACTAATGTTTGGGGATAAGTATCTGTTGATTTTAGAGGTTTGATGGAAAAAATTTCTTCTGGTACCTACAATGCCAAAAGAGTACTATCAGTAACATCTTCTTGTTCAGAAAACTCAAATTCTAAACTAGAAAAATGAATTTGAAATTCATTCTGAATTTCTGAAATTAATTTTACTCCCTTTTGATTTTGAGGACAATATTTTGCAAAATGTCCTGATATTCCACAAATGAAACATTTGCTTCCTTTCTTGCCTCTAAACTTTTTTTCTTTCCTTTAGAAGTATTCCACCTTTTCCTGAAAGATCTTCTTGGGTAACTTTTGTTAAAACCTTTGAACCTTTTGAACTTTTTCTTTCTTCTGTAGCTTGAAGGACTGCAAGCTTGGCATTTTCCTTTTGTTATCAGCTCAGATTTTTTACAGGCTTGGTCTAAACAGACATCTCCCTTGAGATATTTTCGAATAATTTTTCGTTTGTTGCACAAATTATTCAAGGAAAGAAAGACTGCTTGTTTGATCTGACCTGTAGAAAGATTTAAAATAGAACCATATTTATTATAGATATACATTTCAACACCATCAGTAAGAGATTTAGGTAGAGAACTTATAAATGCTTGTTTCAAGTTAATATCAACACCTAGAGTAAAAAACAATTGAATCATTTTTTTGAAATATTTATTAAGATCTTTTCAATCATAAGAAAGACATTCATTTGAAAAAATTCTTTTCTTTTTGTTCCTTTACTCTCTTTTACATCTCCAATGAACATGAAGAGCAAGATATTAATATTTTCAAAAAATTCTTGTCTAGTTAGGAAAAACATTTTATCTTGTTCTCCTAAACTTGCCTACCAGTCTTTGAGGATTCCTGAAAATTGAGCAGTGAAGTCAGATAAAATTTCAAAATGAGATTCTTCAGTAATATTTTGGATAATCATCTAAGCATGAAAATTCTGAAATTTTTCTTCCCACTTTGATGAAGGTACATCATCAATTGTAAAGATCTGAGTTCCTTTCATTTTTGATGATGTTTTCTTCTAACTATTGGACGTTTCACCAATTTCTTCCTCTTCATCAGGATGAACAACTTTGACTTTGTTGCCATATTCAGTTCGGGGTTTTGAGATTTCATCAAAATTTTCTTCTCCAGTAAATTCTTCAATAGAATCTTCAAGGCTTGAATTTTCTTCAATACTTTCAGTACTATTTCCCTTGGTTGATTATGAGTCTGAATCTTTATCCTTTCTTCTTAACTTTTCTCATATTTCTCTCTTAGTTTTCAATTCTGTTCTTAGGAATTATCCCGAATTATAGAGCATTCAAGCCTACACGATTTTGGTGTCCACGGCAGAAGGTTTGCAATTTACAATAATAAAAGAAACTGGGATTCTACCAGTAGAAACAGATGCGAAGGAGGAGGCCATATATGAACTTCTAGAGTAGTACTTCAAGAATCAAGATCTACAATTGCAAAAACTAATGTGCAGTTGCCAGGAATTCCACCAAAACCTTAGCGAAGATCTTCATAAAAGTTTTCAAGAAAACAATAAGAAATTGGATGCCTTAATGGAAAGATTAGACCAAAAGTTTGATCTGTTGATTCAAGCCTTCAATGGTGGAAAAAGGGTTCTAACGGGAGAATGCTTTGATAGCGATCGAAGATTTGTTGTGGAGGAACAACACTTGTTTGATTAAAGCAATTCCAAGAATCAAGTTTCTCATTTTAAGAAGGTGAATCTTGAGGAAGAGTCGAACAAGGAAGAAATAGGCAACATTTTACTACGAAATGTTTCAATCAGTGATTTGATTATGATTTCTATAGAAAATTATGGGGAAAGGAAGAGAAAATGTGACGAAATCATATTAAATTGTCAATTGATGGATGATACGAAGAATGAAACTCATGGAATTTGTATACAAGAGAATGTTGATATTGAGTCCCACGACCTGCAATTGATGAAAGGAAATAATAATATGTCTGAATCTTTTGAGGCGCGTCATGAATTAGAAAGAGAAACATTGCAAGATAAAGTTGATGAGCCTGGTATACAGCAGCAATGAGCTATTCTTGAAAAGAATTAGAAAGGGGCTGAAGAATTCAGATTATTGATATTGTTAGGAACTCTTAGATTAATTGTAGATTATGTAATTAGTGTCTTGAAGGCAGACACCAAATTGTGTTACACTTCTTGAAGCGGGGAAACCTCATGGAGGTTTTTGTAGTTGTTTTTCTTCAAGAGCATTTCACTGGAATCATCGGTAATAGGAGTGTCAATAGGGCCGGACCAGCCCGAACCTGATCCGTTCGGCCCTATAAAAAGCCCAATGAGCCTACAATATCAGTGAGTCGGGCTGAGCTTGGGCCTCAAAACTAGGCTCATATTAAATATGAGCCGAGCTTGGGCTTTATTAGGCTCAAACCCAATAGACCCGGCCCTATATATAATATAATATAGGTAATATTTATAATATTTATATTTTGGTAATATAATTATATATATAGGTATTATATACAATATTTATGTTTTAGTTGTAGAAAACCAAAAAAAAACATTAATTTTTGTAAAAAAAAAAGAAAAGAAAAAGTGGATGCCATCATGAGCCATGAGCCATCCTTTTGACCATAGAAGAGCAACTTGAGCAAGTGAGCAACGACAGGAGTAAGAGGAAAAACAAGGAAAGAGACAACGGCTAAAAGAAGAAAAAGAGAAAAGGGAGAGAAGAAAAGAAGAAGAAATGAGAAGAAAAAGAAAGGGGGAAAAGAGAAGAGAGAAAGGGGGGATCTGAGAAAAAAAAAGAGAAGAGAGGGAGGCAACGAAAGAGAGAAGGAAAAACATAGAAGAAAGAAAGAGCAGAAAAAGACAGAAGACACAGGAAGAAAAAAAAAGCTCTCGCTCTCTAGTCTCCACTCCGTCTCTCAATCTTCTCCTGTTTTTCAATTTTCCTTTTTTTGGCATTAGATGTCAGATGCAAACAATGAAGACATTGTTATTACAATCACAGATGTTGAAGCAACAAAAACTGCAGCTGAACAAGAACCTGAAGGAGAAGAAACAAATAAAGGTGAAAAGAGGAAAAAAGAAATGAATGTGAGGTCCAAAGTTTGGCTCCATTTCACCAAGATTTCACCAAAGGAAGAGGAATGTACTTGCAATTATTGCAAGAAAATTTTCTCCTGCTGTAGCAAAGGATGAACAACTTATTTGCATCGACATATATTTGGGGGCATATGTGTAGCCTACAAAAGAGCCAAGGGAGGACAATCGTCAAAAGGGCAAACACTTCTTAGTTTCTCCAAAGGTAATTCAGATCAAGTTAATAACTCTGTTTGAAAATTCGATCAAGAGAGTAGTCGAAAAGATCTAACAGAGCTTATAATTAATCGAGAGCTGCCATTCAATTTCGTTGAAGATAAATCATTTTAGAAGTATGCTCTGAGTCTTAATCCGAAG